TTTACGTCGTAGGAGGAAGAGACGGTTTACAAACTTTGAATACTGTGGAATGTTTTAATCCAGTTGGCAAAATCTGGACTGTGATGCCTCCCATGTCAACACATCGGCATGGCTTAGGTAAGAGCTTAATGTTACATAGTTTCTCAAGAATATGTAGTTAGTAGATCTTTTTAAAAATTAAATCTAGCCTCACATTAACTGAGATTTAGCCAAACCCTTAGTCAAAATATTTCCAAAATGGTGAAAAGCTTAAGTAAATGTTAAAAGGCTGTGAAACTTTTTTCTTATTGCATTTGTTATACTTGTTAGTCCCGCCTCCCTTCCACCAGTATTTTAAAGGGGTTCCATTTTAGAAAGGGTAGTAACTTTTAGAAGGGATATATTTTTGAGGAACATAAAACTACAACAGGGAGTTTTATTCTAAGCTCAATTTAGAGAGGAGAGTACTTGGTGATGGAGAGGCATTGTCATTCTAGTTGGATGAATCATGTCCTCATAGTGGGGAACTTTGGTTTTCCTGAATACTTGTCAACTTACCTCTTTCTTAATGCTAGACTCCACATGTTTTCAATAGCATTGAGTTTGTTGAAAAACAGAAAAATTGACATTTTTTTTAAGAGTTGACCTTTAGACAGCTAAAAAGCGGCAGATCCAGGACTGGTAGTTTTTACTCCCAATTATCCTGATAAATTGCCTCTGCAAAATGATATATAATATAATTATTCAGCTCAGTTATGTCAGTGTAATTCCTACATGTGGCTTAGAAAGCATGTCCTACAGAAAAATGAGTGCAAGCTTTTTGTAATCTAATTGATATTAGTAAAATGGGAGAAGATGTGATATAACACTGAGAGTCTGATTGGGATGGTGAAGTTGGGGAAAAAAGCCAATTATGTGAATTCCCAAAGCAGATAAGAAGCATAAAGGAGCTATTTAAATAGCTAACAGAACAAATTTCTAACTGAACCTTTAAAAAGTCCTGTCTAGTTAGTCATCTCACAGGAATATTTTTTATCCCTATGTTAAAAATCAGGGGTTATAAAGACCTAGCACAGTCAGCCTACAATTCTAAGGTTTATCTAAGATTCAACATCATATTTACCACTTACATTCAAGAAATGGCATTGAAATTATGCCAGAAAAACCCAGCTTCCCTTTTCTATTACCTAACTGAGAAATGATGCATTTCGCTGCCTCCCCTGACTTTAGTGTTACAACAATAATACCCTTTCATGATATGGTAACTATGACTGAACATTCCTAGGGTTAGAAAACCATATTTCATTTTATAACAGAATCAGTAAATTATTCATATGTATGCAAAACCACTTAAGAAACAAAACAAAATTTTAAGCAGTCAATTGCTTGCAACATGAAACAGTATCCATTGTGTAGCGTACCTAGGTGAGCCCTCATACTATTTTCATCCTTTAGGCGTAGCCACACTTGAAGGACCAATGTATGCTGTAGGTGGTCATGATGGATGGAGCTATCTAAATACTGTAGAAAGATGGGACCCTGAGGGGCGCCAGTGGAATTATGTGGCCAGTATGTCAACTCCCAGAAGCACAGTTGGTGTTGTTGCATTAAACAACAAGTGAGTAAGTCTAAACACACATGCTCATTGCTCCCAGTTCATGTGGTACAGAACTTCAATGACATGATCCATCAACCAACAAGCATTCTAAATGACTGGGACATACTTGTAATCAATAATTAAAGGTCTTTTTAGTATCCTCTCTTCATTATGGTGGAAAATACTTGTCTAGAATAAACACTTGGTTAAATATTCTATAGGCTATTACTAATCAAACTGTGGTCCTAAGACTGGCAGCATTTGCATTCCCTGAGGTGTATTTAGAAATTCTGAATCTTAGCCCCACCCTAGACTGCCTGAATCAGAATCTTCATTTTAACAAAATCCTGAGGTGACTTGAGTGCACATTAAATTCGAGAAGAACTTTTGTATGCCAGTTCCAGTTTTACCCTCGAGAGGCTACCACATTTTTAAATTATGACTTATTCTTGACTTATCAAAACTTTGGTCTTTCTGTGTTTGTAACAAGGTTAGTCTTTTTGTTCTTTCAACAATCCTGCTTTTGAGTGTTCAGGGTTCCCAACTATAGAATGCCACGTAGTCTGACCCTTCTTGAATATTTACCCCTTCCTGATCATTTGCCTATCACTTGAAAGCTAATATATTAAAACCTAATGATGTTAGAGGTTTCCAAGAGCTTGAATTCTTACCAGGTAATTATGTATTTTCTGACACGGGACCTTTGGAGACAATGACCAGCATAGAGAAGGGACTTGAATGATAAGAATTTCAGACAACAGGATGGTTCAGTTTCAGGTTACAGCCTTGTGTGTCTATACTAACTATGCATAAAGCCAATACCTCATCAGAGAAATAGGCTCAGTTGAAAATTCAACACAGATTGTTTTTAGCACCTTGTGTAGAAAGAAATAGGAAATATCTAGAGTTAAGAGGAGATCCAGCTTTACAGTATCTTAGAGCTTAAGGTACTCCTAAATCTGACTGTCTCTAGCCTGATCTGAATTATGTCAGGTGATTCAGTAACATAATCCCTTGTCTATTACAGAACAGGCTAAAATCATCAGATTTGACTCATTTAATTTTATTTTGCTGAGTTACTATAGTTTGTAACTCATCATGAAGGGCAGTTATAGACATATAGTTTAATAAATATTTGTCTTTATTGATTCAGGATTAAATTTAAGTTAGATTAAAAATATTGTTCATCAAAAGAATTGGCATTTTAAAGTTTATGGGAGAAATGTCATAGCCAATATCCCTTCCTAGGAAGAACCTAGTTTCTAGGTTCTATCCTATTCTCTCAGTTGTTTATTAAGTTAATGCCTTCTTAGTGGTAATTTTTATACTAGGTAAAATAGTTTATAAAAACAACATAAATTCTGATGCTAGGCAGTTGGACCTAGTTAAAATTGTAAAATTACTGGAGTTGGTCTTTGGAACCATGCTACCAACCCTTTTGATGTTTCCCTCCTTTCTCTCTACTTCATTTCCCATGGGATCTTTCAATATGTTATGTCAAAGTTACTTTGGTAAAAATAATGAAGAAGGGAGATTTGGCCAGGTATGGTGGCTCAAACCTGTAATCCCAGCACGTTGGGAGGCCAAGGTGGGAGGATCACTTTGAGGCCAGAAGTTCGACACCAGCCAGGGCAACATGGAGAGATGCCGTCTCCACCAAAAAAAAAAAAAAAAAATAGCTGGGCATGTTGACACATACCTGTAGTTTCAGCTACTTGGAAGGCTGAGGTAGGGGGACCACTTGAGCCCAGGAGTTTGAGGCTGCAGTGAGCTATGATTGTGCCACTGCAATCCGCCCCCCATGCCTAGGCAACAAAGCTAGACCCTGTATCTTAAAAAAGAAAAAAAAAAGAGAGAAAAAGAAGAAGAAGGGAGGTTTGGATTTGGGGAGGTAGATCTTAAAAAGTGCTCTCAGGTAACTATCTATTCACAAACTCAAGCATGCTGTTTGCTACAAAATAGTGTGAGAATAAATTCTATGGTCAGAAACTTCAGAAACTTGAAATGGTTTGTTTAAAGTTCTGTCACTCTCATTCTATGCACAAGCTTTGTATGTGTATACACACAGTTCTCTTGTTTTCTAGGTTATATGCTATTGGTGGACGTGATGGAAGTTCCTGCCTCAAATCAATGGAATACTTTGACCCACACACTAACAAGTGGAGTCCATGTGCTCCAATGTCCAAACGACGTGGAGGTGTGGGAGTTGCAACATATGATGGATTTTTATATGTTGTAGGAGGTCATGATGCCCCTGCTTCTAACTATTGCTCCAGGCTTTCTGACTGTGTGGAACGGTAAATTGTTTATCTTTATGCATGTGATTATTTGGTTATTTATTTTTTTCAGAAATGAGAAAGATTTTTAAACTATCATCAAATAGTCTTACAAGCAAGACCCTGCCTCCACTAAAAATAGAAAAAAATCAGGTGGGCAACTAAATATAGAAAAAAGAGATTAGCCAGGCATGGTGGTGCATGCCTATAGTCCCAGCTACTTGGGAGACTGAGGCAGGGGGATTGCTTGAGCCCAGGAGTTTGAGGTTGCCGTGAGCTAGGCTAATGGATGGCACTCTAGCCTGGGCAACATAGCGAAACTTTGTCTCAAAAAAAAAAAAAAAAGGGAAAGAAAAGAAAAAAGACAATAATCTTCCAAATAGAAGTTAGTCCTTTCAGCAGATTAAATATTTTGGAAAAATGCTCCTTATAAATTTCCAGATCCAACATAAACATATATAAAAGGAATATTCTGTCTTATTGTTTGGTAGTCACACTGTAAAATAATGAGACAAAAGGAATGAAAGAATAAGGGAATTTTATGCCAAGCTGTATCACTCAACCAATTCGGCAGACTCAAATCCAAATAAGTTTACCATTTTTAAAATCAAATTAATCCATAAAAAGATAAAGACTTACCACTATGAAATACACAGAAAGAATTCCTGAAGAGTTATGTTAATAAGTTGTGAAAGATGACTATATTGCAGTAAGTATTGTGTTTCCCAAAGGTAACTTCCTTGAAAGGGAGACATTCATTTGTATGAATATTATGATATGTTGGTTAAAGTGTCATAATGACTTTGCAGTTATACCATTTACGTTCTTTTTCAAGATAGAAAAAGTATACACACAAAAAAAGAATAGTTAAATAATATTTACCTGAGAGACTAAGTGACAAATTTACAGTAATAATATTATCAGAATTCAGAAGACAGACATAATTATGGGATAGTGTCCTCAAGGGAAATATATGGAATAGGTAGAATTTATACTTTGCAGGCATACAAAAGTAAGAATGAATTTAAGGCCTAGAAAAAAATGCGCAACCAAAACTATGGAGGTAAAGAAGGAGAAAGCTTTGTAGATGAGAACAGACATTTTGGATTGAAATATAAGTTGGAAGAGCAATTCAAACCACAATTAAGGGCCAAATTGTCTGATGGCCTAAAATGCCAAGGTGGAAGCTTTGAGAATGTATGATGTAGGAAGAGGAATAATTAAATTTGGGAGAATTGGAATACCACAAAGAAAGTAGTTTGGGAGAAATTGATAAATCAGTGACATATAAAGGATAAAATGTAGGAAGAAGAGATTAAAGGAAGAAGATGAATATTATTTATGTTGGTGCAAAAGTAATTGCGGTTTTGGACACTGAATTTTAAATCATTATAACTAGGCTCAAACACATATTTATTAATCAAAATAGGAACCATTGCAATCAACACATTTTTGCCAGTAAGAAATAAGTTTGTTTATTCCTTATGCATAAAAATCCATGATTTGGGATTCAACAAACTCTTAGAAAGCATTTTCTGCATCCTGCTAGTTGTGAAAGCATTTTCCCTGCAAAGTTGTCGAGATGCTTGAAGAAGTGAAAGTCTGTTGGCAAGAGGTCAGGTGAATATGACAGATGACACAAAACTTCGTAGCCCAGTTCATTCAACTTTTGAAGCGCTGATTGTGGGATGTGCAGTCAGGCGTTGTCGTTGAGAATTGGGTCCTTTCTTGACCAATGCCAGCTGCAGGCATTGCAGTTTTCGGTGCATCTCATCTGTTTGCTGAGCACACTTCTCAGATATAACGATTTTGCTGGGATTCAGAAAGCTGTAGTGGATCAGATTGACAGCAGACCACCAAACAGCGATCATGACCTTTTTTTGGTGCAAGTTTGGCTTTGGAGCTTCTTCTCGGACCAACCACTGAGCTGGTCATCGTCGGTTGTCATATAAAATCCACTTTTCCTCACACATCACAATCTCATTGAGAAATGGCTTGTTGTTGCATACAATAAGAGAAGACAACACTTCAAAACGTCGATTTTGTTTATTTTTGGTCAGCTCATGAGGCACCCAGTTAGCAAGCTTTTTCAACTTTCCAATTTGCTTCAAATGCCAAATGACCATAGGACCATAGAATGGTCCATGTTGAGTTCTTCAGCAGCTTTTCCTATACTTATAAGAAGATTAGCTTCTATGATTGCTCTCAATTGGTCATTGTCATCTCCCTATGACTGGCCACTGTGCTCCTCATCTTCAAGGCTCTCGTCTCTGCAAAACTTCTTGAACCACCACTGCACTATACGTTTGTTAGCAGTTCCTGGGCCAAATGCATTGTTGATGTTGCGAATTGTCTCTGCTGCTTTATGACCCATTTTGAACTAAAAAAAACAAGCACCATATGTACTCACCATCAAATGGGTATTAACTGACTTAACTGACCAACACTTAAGTGCACATTTGATAGTAACATTCATCGAGTGTCGGGCAGGTGGGAAGAGGAGGAGGGGATGAGTATATTCACACCTAATGCGTGCAGTGCGCACCATCTGCGAGATGGAAATGCTTGAAGTTCTGACTCGGGCAGGGCATAGACAATATATGTAACCTAAACATTTGTACCCCCGTAATATGCTGAAATAAAATAAAAAGAAAAAAAAAAGAAAATCACTCGAATTTACTTCATGTCTAATATCATTTCCATAGTCTAAAATAAATATCAAATAAACAGCAAGTAATAAGTCATTATCAAAAGAACATAAAGCGAAAAATGCACATTAAAATGATGTATAACATAACCACATTTATTTAAGAATGTATTCCAACACTGAATGTTAACAATGCTAAAACTGCAATTACTTTTGCAACCTATATTTTTCTTCTGAGAAGCATACCACTGAGTTATAATTGATAATTAAAGCTAATAGTTTCTTACAGGGAATATCTGAACTGTGGCAATTTTTTTAAACAAATTAATTCTAATTGCTCCCTACTACTCAGTGTATATCTAGAATGCTACTTTTGAGATCAGTTGTTAAGAGATGTGAACTTATTTTTTTAAGATTATGCAAACCATCAATAAGGTCAATCACTGCCTCAACTGTATAATGTATTATAACCAAATGTATGTGACACTGAAATTATCCACATTAGTTCTCTCCATAGTTAGCATAAGTAACAAT